GAGGCAGTAGCTGGGGAGAAAGGGAAGCAAAAGCGCGGTGGAGCAGCAGTGGCACGAGCAGCAGAAAGAAGAGAGAGGAGGAGGAGGAAGAAGAGGGAGCAGAGGAGGCGGCGGAGGCGCAGGACTCCGGCGAGCGGATGGACAACTCTCTTCACGGGCCCCGTCGGTCAGGCCTTTCCCCGAGCTCCCATCTCACCCGCTCTGCTCCTCCTCCGGTGCTCATCTCGCGCCTCCTCCTCACCCGTGATCCGCTCGCCTCCTCCGTGGCGGCGGCATCTCCTCCTCCAATGGCCCACGGTGGGAAGCGGCGGCGGCTTGCTGCGGCGTAGCGGCCGCTTCCGTGGCGGCGGGCTCGTGTGGCGTGGCACGGACCCCAACAGAGCTCCTCCGTCATCCCCAACACGCGCGGATCATGTCACGACACGGCCTCGTCTCGGCATCTGCGCGAGCCACCATGCCCTTCAACCTCGCCCGGTGTGCTGGCGGATACCAAGCGTGTGCGCTTGCACAACCGCCACCGCATGCTCGGTCGCCGTCCTCGTCGTCAAACCTTAGAGCAGAGAAGCACCATCTTCGGAGTGGTGTCCTCGGAGCAGAGAAGCGCGCTGACGGATTGTGCTCGCCATGCTTGCTTGCCCATCTCGTGCTTCGCCGTGCTCGGGCGGAAAGTGAGCGATCCTTCTTCACCTCACCGGCAATTGAACGAAAGAGCTACGGCCAACAAATCTCTCTCGCTTCATGCTAATACAAGCAACCCCAAATCTCTTTGCTTCAAGCTATATTAAGAAGCTGCGGCGCGCACCACCAAATCTCTCTCTGCATCACGAAATTGCTCGCCTTTTCCTCTTCTTCAACATGTGATGATGAAGGGCAATGCACACGGAGGGTCGATCAAGAGAAGCGGCGCTTAAGCGCTGCAAGCGGCGAGACCTCTGGCGCGCGAGCATGGAGATGGGCGAGCATAATCCGTGAAGAATCGCTATCATTGCTTTCTGCTATGAGCGCGAGAGATGGGCGAAGCGTGAAGAAGGATCCATGCGTATTATCAAGAGGGCCGTTGCATATGCCCTAGTGCCACACACGCCGGGCGTGCTCACCGAGGCCCCAAGACCGTGAAAATGCTACACACAACCGAGCACTTGGTGGTGTTCGCACCGCAGGAGGTGGTGTTTGCAGCGATGGGTTTTGGGTCGGTCTCCCACCGCCACCTCCACCACCGAAATAGAATGCCTATTTTCCACGGCGCGGATGCGGCCATTCAAGGATGAAGAAGTTAGAAGTGAACGCGGCCGGTCCACCGCACCATCCCCATCCTCCGCGACTCTCTCCGGTTCCATGCCCATGCTCGCCGAAAGCGAGACGGCTGGCTGCGTCCGACAAGTGTGCAAGACTCGGCGCACCCTTCCTCAAAAAGACGCACGCGACGCAAGCGACAGCAAGTGACCGTTGGAAGCAGACAGGCAAGCGGCACTTCCAGTCAGCCGCGCCGGAGCGCGGTTAGTCGTTGAGTCGTGACTCCGCCCGTGAGTTTTGGAGTGGCCCTCGGGCGTTGAGGCCTCACGGTCACCGGAGCCTCAATTGAAGGAAAGGAGTGCATATTGGCTCGCGTGAGGTGCTCATCGTGTTGCAGCCGATGGTGCCATAGGTTGCAGCTACGGAGGCGGCGCGCGACGCTAAGAACTTGCACAGCTTGCTTGTAGCGGAGGCGGCCTTGGCATCGACGGCGCAGCAGCGAACCTCATGCAACAAGGCGGTGGAGACGTGCGGGCGGACGTGCTGAGAAGACGCCGCCAAGTGCAGCAGCGAGGAAAAAACGCCACGTGGCCGGGAGAAAATCATCGTGTCAACCTTGTTCTTCCCGCGCGAGGAAGAAAGCTTGCAAGCAGCGGCAGCGCGATAGCAGCTAGCTAAAGGTGAAGTAGCTCCTTCTAAGCGGGCTAATTTGGTTTTAGTAACCTTGTTAGTCACATTGCTTAGTTTGTGTAGCTAAGTATATTTGCGCTCTCTAATTAGGCGTTGGTTGCCTTGTTATTGAGCATTGCTAGTGAGCTTAGTTAGCTTTGTGCTTTTGCTTACTAGCATGTGTAGGAGCTCCAGCAGTCTTTGGTGGCATAGGTTTGTGTGGCGAATTGTTTAGGAGAGCTCTAGTGGCTTAGTTGTGTAGTAGCTGTGCTAGTGAACATATATATATAGAGGGGTGTAGTCTTGGCACCCGCAGCGGCGCAGCGCGATTAATTTTAGAAAAGATATTTCAGCAGGATGCGGGCCTTCAAAGAAGCCCGCGAGAAGAAATATGAGGAAGTGAGCCATAAATGTCCGTGCGCGAGCAGCAGGAGCAGCAGCCATGGCGTGAGTAGTAGCAGCAGCCATGGCTAGCGCTGCCTGTGCTGGGCGCCGTGGTGGCAACGACGTGTGGCGGGGAGGTTGGGGAAAGGCGGCGACAGGAGGGCCCCAGAAGAGAGAGGAGGGATAATAGGTGGTCCCAACTGGGCGGTGAGAGGAAAGACTACGGTGGACAAAGGGGTCGTGTGCGGGTTTCTTGAGGCCCTTGAAGAAACTCCCAACGGTCAAATGGACACGAGGACCAATTTTAAACCGGTTTTAAGAGTTGAGGACCAATTTTAAGCGATTTTAAAAGTTGGTTTTGGAGTTAGATGGCTAGAACAAAACTACAGCCATAGTTGGAAGGCCAAAAATGAATTTTTTCCTAAAAAAATACATGGGCATTTTGAACTGTGGGTAGCTAACAACAATTTCACTCAAAATTGTTTCCTTGGGACCGCATCATCAATCAATACCTAAAATGACTGAGCTTGAGTTGCGCTGGTTTGCGCTTCTGCTGAAATATCTCTCCCGTGCCTGATATTTCCCTCGCTCGATGAGAATTCAGACACGAGCAGCGGTCTGCTTTCACGTCCCCACCGGACCGTGTCCGCGTCACGGTCTTGTTTCTCCCTCCGGTGTCCGCCTCGCCGTGGACCACAACCACCGCCCGTCCCCGTCGGTTCACACAGCGGCGTTGCGTGCCGGACCTGCGCTTCAGAGGTGCGTCGACGTTCCTGCGTGCATGCATGCGAGATGACAGACGGACCATCGCCTGATTCTCATCCGAAACGTTCGAGGCCACGGGACGGGAGCGCCTTACGTGATGTGGCTGGCACGTCAATCAGGCGCCGTACGTGCCCCGTGCTTATCTGCAGCAAGTTCCTGTTAAAAAATCTTGCTCCACCGGGAGCTCGCCCTGGATTGGTGACGGTGCGCGCAACAGCGAGGGTGCACGCAGCAGCAGATCGTTTGTTTGCTTCCTCTTCCAGGATGTGCGGATACACTTCTTCTGCCGGTAACCCTGTTAAAAAAAAACTTTTAGACAACCAATGATTTCCAAGGGATTTAATGTTACTGTAGGGACAAAATATTAGATGCCATGAGTAAGAAAACGGGGTTAACAATCTTCGAGCCAGCTGTAAGAGAAAGCTTAGATATAGCTCTCTATGTTGACAGGAGAGAGAATATATGAATAAATAACACATTAGTAGAACACGTAGCGAAATACTTCCTACCATCTAAATTATAAGTTGTTTTGATTTTTTTAATACATAGATTTTGCAAGTATCTATATATTATTTCTAGATACGTAACAAAAATGATGTATCAAAATAAGTTAAAAGGATTTATAATTTAGAGCAGAGGGAGTATCATTTAAGTCTAATAAGTCAAAATGATTTATAATTTATAATAGAGGGAGTATCATTTTTAAGTCTTTATCTGACTTGCGGACTGTGCTACTAGAGGTGCCCTTAGACTGTCTCCAACGAGCCGCACCTAAAATCAAGAGTTTGGGTACGGCACAGTGAAAAGATCCCGGACCCAAAAACTACCCTTTTCCAACATGCGACGCAAACGAGAAGCCGCGCCGCCCGCCCTCGCCTGCGCTCCTCCACCCGCTTCAGACGAGCTCCGGCAGAGCAAGGCACGCCGTCCGAACTCCGGCGTGGTCGGGGCGGATCGCCATGGCCAGCGCGCGCGCCATGGCATACCGAGGAGGAGAGGCGAGGCGGCGGAAAGCGCGAGGAGGCAATGGCGTGGTCGAGGTGGCCCCGGGCGGCGGTGGAGGATGGCGAAGGGTCGGGTGGCCCGAGGGGCCCATGGGTGGGAGGCGAGGAGGACGTCGGCGACGGCGAGGAGCTCGTCGGCGCCGGGGAGGAGCGGGTCCGCCTCCACCGCCCGGTCGGCTATGGTGGTGGTCCCGCCGGCCATGGACCCGCCTCGCCCCACCTGGCCACGCCGGCCGCTCCCCGCCGCGCCGGCCATGGACCCGCCTCACCGAGCCAGTCCGCCTCGCCCCGCTGGCCGCTCCCCGCCGTGTTCCCGCCTGGCCGCGCCCCGTCGCGGTCCCGCCTGGCCCCATCGTCCTCCATGGCACTGGAGATTTGGGTCGAGAGAGACAATGCAGATTTACGTTCTCCGTCACCTCCCACCCAAAATGGGTTCGCCGTTTGCGTCATCTGTTGAACTGTATGTTTTTGCCATGGAGCAGGCATTTTGCGTTTGGGTACCGTGATATGTCGGCCGTTGGAGATAGTCTTATGTGTGGAACCTGGCAACCTGAAGGCAGCTCTACCATTCTCTCTGCGGTCTCGCACAATCGCACAAGGCACAGCGGCCAACACAGAAAGCAACAAAACATAGAACAAATCACAATGCGTAATAATTATTATCCATCCGCACATTTTTATTATCATGTAATGCTGGACAAAAACTATATCAAACGTTACAATATTTTACATTTACAGCCTTTAACCTACTACGTACTCTAGTTTACAACACTTGCTGCCAACCAAAGTGTTGGGATGCAAGGTTCTGTGTATGCTTTGACCACGGAGAAATGCAGTGGTCCGAAAGCAGTGGCTTTCTTCGAGCTTTCTTGCACGAGACTGTCAGTCCTTTGTCCCAGCCGAGTTTTCTTGCACGCACGTATATGTATTATATGTACACCACCTTCATGCACGGCACGTTTGCTTGTCTTGACATGGAGTCTCTGATGCTCGCTGCACAAATGATGACTCCAATATCTTCTTGGGCCTTAGCTCAGATTTTTCTTTTGGGACACGAAGTGCCATGAACTGCAGTGAGGCGCTCTGAATTTGGTAGATATAGCATCCCCAAGGGTAAGCATCAGATGACGCCCATATGATTTGCTCCTCATACTCGGCATCCTCCGTGAGTCTCTCATCCACACAGAAAGCACAGTCAAGAGGGGGCTCCTCGAATGAAGGGACAGCAACACACCCAAGAGCTACGTATCCCCCCGGTGGCCTTGGAAGCCATATTGATACAGGGTTCCTGTAATCCTCAGCACAGTTTCTCCAAACCTGCAGGCAAGGCAATCATCAAAGCAAAATCTATCAACAGGAGTACAGGACTTCCCCCCTCATACAGTGTTCCAAAATCAAAAAACAGTTGCTATTTATGCACGATAAAAGTAACAGAAGGATTATACTATTTCAGTATAATAAGCTCAACACTGGTCAAGCATATATGACACAAAATCTCATTGAAAACTGACCAGGTCATAGCCAAGGGGCAGTGCAAAGTTCCAATTGATGTTCTTGTATACAGCAGCAAAATGTGGTGGATGGGTGCCAACATGAGCAACATCACCAATTGAGACATACCTGAAATAATTTGGTCAGTACCTTCGGTATGTAAGCAGTTACATTAGTGGGTTATACCATGTCAAAATACATACCCATTAGGGCACAGAGGCCTCCATATGCTAAACACCCTTCCGTCATCCGCAATCTAAAATAAACACCAACAATAGTTTTACATCACACATCTGAAATACTTTCTTTTTTAGCCACTCAGATTCTGCTGACTTACCTGCTTGGCAACTAGTTTACATCGGCTCCGAATTTCTGGTTCACTGCTCCACATTTTCTGGAAGTTAACTGTATTGTTTATGAGTTGTTGCTCAACATCAGTAGAAGTTCCTCTCGAGCTTAGCAAAGGCCTAGATAGACTGTGGGATTCCCTATTATCATCATCTGACGCAAAATACACATGGTGCTGGCCTGATGGAACCTATATGGTTTTGTTCAGAAGTACAAGTTCAGTTCAGGAGAGTTGGTTACAAAAAAAAAACGAGAAGATAGCTCAATTCAGGAGAACAAGAGAGATTACCTTCAACGGTATAACTTTCATTGCTGCCTGGTGAGATCTCCACATTTTCCGAATTGAAGAGCAAAGTGAAAGAGCCTGTGGTTGTCGTTCGTCGTCAATGTTGCACTTAATAAGCCTTACAAAGTTCTCTGACCTCCTAAAATTCTTCAGATGTATGATTACATGTGAAGGCCTCTGATACCCAGCTTTTGCTAGCTCCAATGCAAGTACTTCTTCCCAAGGAACATCCCAAAGTATTTTGGAAGGTTTCTTGTCCATTTTATCTAGATCCGGGCACTACAAACGAAGAACATCAGTTCTAATTAAACTTTTGAAGTAACGCAATAATACGATCAGAAAGGAATAAGCCTTACCTGAAGCAGCATCACCCGCTTATTAGTTACTAAAGCAATCCTCTGGTTTCGTAAAATAAAATGGTCTTCATAGTAATCAGACCATGCGTACTTAGAAGGTTCCTGAAATAAATCTGTGCATGCAAAATATCTGCTTGCTTCTGCCAGGTAAAGGGCCATCTGGAGAACAGAGTAATCAAATTAGTGTACATCATGCCAAAAATCTGACTAGAACTATACTAACGTGACAACTCTCTCCTAATTATTATTTTTCTTTGGAAACAGCCTTTGTTTGATCAATTTAGCAAAGGTGAACCTTTTGTCTAATTAAAACAAAGCTGGATTGAATCTGTAGTACATCACTATGTATTATATGATTACAATTGCTCACGTAGCAACCATAAACTATAATTTGATCGTTTCAAGTCTTAAGCATATTTTTGAAGGCATGTTAACAGAAGTTTCAGTGTCCAGTACAACTATGTGCTACTCCCTTCGTTCCGTAATAGTGGCCATGTTTCCTTTGGGCTCAAAAACCAATAAGTAGAACAAGTGACCAAATTATTTGCTACTGGGTTAATAAAATGCCACAACTTTTATCTGTGTGCAAGCATTCACGTGATCTGCGTAATACAGCTGCATGTATGGAAACTTCGACTGAAGATAGGATTTGTTAGTAAATCTAGTGGAGTAAGTCTCATGCTTGTTGATGTTGGCTAGTGCTTAAGGATGATATGTTGGCTTGACTGTGATGAACCTAACAATTCCTGACATGTATGAAATTTCACAAGGATGCTTCATCTCATCCACTAGATTTAACTTACTTCTCACAATATATTACTACTTTTGCTTTGAGTTTCTTAATAGAGATTAGACTGGAGACCTGCCTTCCAGGAATCATAAATCTATTTGTACAGTTATTTTTCCATCAAAAAGCAAAAAGGAAAAGAAATAAACAATATGAAAACAAGCAATGTACATGTACCTGTCCAGCAGCTTCAACTTTGTCATAGTCTCTTAGTATACCATCTCGATGGATAGCACGAGGATCTCTTATCCTCTGCGGAACAGATTTGTTACTTAAAATGTTGACACATCTCATAAAACTCGCACTAATTCCATCAACCGTCAGTGAAAAAAAATCCAGAGCCCCACTTAAAGGTTGTACAATGAAACCCACAAAAGCACGGCCAATACCAGGTGCAATGCCTATAACACCATACTGTCTGGCACTCTCAACTGGCTTTCTTAAAACACCAGAAACCCCAAAAGCCAAACCCTGAGCAAAGGCTTCAGTCCCTTGAACTAGCCCATCACCAACACCAGTGATTCTCCTTGACCAAACCTGAATCATATTCCAATTAAGTTTTTAAAGAAGTGAACATAAACAAGGACAAAAAGAAGCACAAGCTATTGCACCTGCTTTGATCTCAGCTGAAGAAATTGGCCATCAGTAGACAGCTCTGCAAATCCTTTACTAAGTGATGATAAAGTTGATTTTGTCACTCCAAGAAAATCTACAGAGAAGATTAGATGCAGTGGATTGTGAATCAGATCTCTCTTGATTCGGTTCATGATAGCAGGGATGATGGAGCTCTTCCGCATAAACCGGCTTCTGTGCATGACCTTCCGCAGATGCACCTAAGACAAAACATCAGGGATGAAACTACAAACTACAGTTCATGGATCTGAGTATATATCTCCTATCAAAAAAATTAGGGAATAAAGCTACCCAAGAGTTTTTATTGCAATATGAAATAAATGATGGTAACTTGAGAATTCAAATTTCAGGAAGACAGGCAAGGAAAGAATAAACTTATTCCTATTTAGTGGGCATATGCCGCTATGATACTATCAATTGTTCAGCTATTGAAGCTAAGGATGTTTTAGCTCCGCTAAACACCGCTATTTGGCTTAGTTGAGAAATGTTTTACCACCACTTATCCTGACTAAGGTATTTATTCTTTATTCTAGATTACTATATTACACTACTGTGTTTTTTATTTAATAAATGAGGTAGTGAACTATTCAATAATTATTGAGTTGTCAAAGTTGAATGTTGAATCAATATTAATGTTGGGGGTTTGGGATAAAGCAACATATTTTAGCATAATTTGACAGGTTCAGAGTTAAATCAAATTTCTTGGATTCTGATGAAAATGGCATAAAACTGACCAAATTTAACTGGGTTAGTCTGGTACTGGCCATGAAACATGATGTTCCGTACATAACCTGATTTTAGAATAAAGTTACCTGAATCTTGAATGCATTACCCACAGCAGACAGGACAGGGCTCCATATGCCTAGGACACCGCGAGGTCTTTGATTAGGCGCAGTTTCCAGGGATATTTTCAGCCTTATCTCTGAAATATCAATGAGCCTGCAAATTATACAATTATTTGTGAAATATGTTGTGTCGTATTCCAGCTAAGTTACATCTGGACACAGGCAGTATATATCGATGGGCGTACCCAGTGCAGAGAGCTCCCGCTCTGTGCAGGGTCTGGGGAAGGGTGTTAGTGGCAAGCCTTACCCTAGCCTGTGCAATGCGAGGAGACCGTGACTCGAACCCGGGACCTTCCGGTCACAGGCGGTAAGACTCTACCGCTTGCACCAGGCCCGCCCTTCGCAGTATATATCGATGATTATGCAAAAATAATCACACGAATTTAATAAAAAATTTCACAACATTGAAAAAAAAACACATTGTCAACACTCAGCAACGTGTTCTCGTTGTACTTCTGCAATGTACTGGCTACAATTTGTAAAAGAAAAATGAATGCACAAACTAGTTGCATGGAAACACCTGCCCATCTCTCATCTCTGTAGTGCTAATCTTAGCCCTAGTTACTGATGAATGACAGAATGCATCAAATTGGAAACACAAGACAACAATTTCAGATGCAAAAAGACACGTCTCAAAAATTAGGAAAGTCTAACAGTTGCTGTGGCAATTTAGAGGCAAATTTGAAGCTTACTCTATTCGTATCTCAGGATCCACTTCCGTTACAGTTGTGCTGTTGCTGGTGGTGACAAAACGAAGATTGTTGTAGAAATCAACCAGTGCCCAAATAATAGGTTCATGAATGTTCAGTCTCCATGTTTGATCAGTTACCTATATAAAACACAGATTTCATTTATTTTAAGTATGGGTTGATACTATATAGACATGCATGTTGAAATACACAAAGCAACAACATTACCCAAATATAGACATGTGGGTAAACTTGAATGCCATTAGAAGTTACATTGCTAACAGCAACATTTGCTTTGAAAACAGGACGATTTGAATCAGGCCTGCTCTCGGTAGCCAAAACAACAGGCATTGTAGACAGTGGCAACTGATTATCTAGTTGCAACTGGCCAAGAATTAACTTAAACCTGCAAAGAACATAGTGCTATCATTAGGAAAAAGTGATGCTATGTTCGTGGGTATGCCATCAGTTAACTTGCCAAAGATGTTAGCAATAAATGGAAAGGAGCAGTCCTTTGCAAAACCAAGCAGCTGATCTTTCTTGGGGCAAAAGAGTGGCTTCAAAAATGAGTATAAACTTATACGACACAAAAAAAAAACATGGTGAAGAACTAAGTGTATCACAAAGTTCCCAGTTCCCCCCAATGATGGAAAGCATTTCTTTTGCATATGGAAGGAAAAAAAATTAGACCAGCGCATGTCTGGACATGATGTTGATGAAAAAATACATTGAGTGCAAACTGTACCTGCTAGTGGTCCCAGAATCATAACCAGTCATGTATGAAACAAAAACCTTCTGCAGATTCAAGTATAAAAGCTCTCTCAGCTTATGATCAATCAAAGATATTCCAACAACTCCAAGTTCAACAATAAGCTCCAAGGGTCCAGCACCTGGCTCTGTCTCATTTGCCTTCAATGTCGGTCCTTGGTGATCAGTCAGTTCAGATCCAGGCAATCCATATACTTCCTCTTTCCTTAGGTAATCTGCAAACTTCAATATCTTAATATCACTGGTCTCAATACTAAACATGAGGCCATGTTCCCTAAAACTGGTGAAACTTCCAATAGGGTTTTCCAGGTCAACACTTAGAACACAAGTATCATCGCCTTTATCAACGCTAACATCAATAACTTTCTGTCCATATGGGTCATCCCAAGAATATTTTCTGGTTGCAAGTGGCTTCACTTGGATCCAACTATCTTCCCCTAAACCAGACTGGCGAGTACTGATTGTGGTACTACTCGTCCGGTTCTCGATCCTACAAACAATCATACAATGGTCATAATCATAAAAACAGGAAACAAATATCTAGATGCTGTCATTACCATTTCATACTACCTGATTGGTCCATAGGGTGGCCCCAGACGGAATACAATCAAGAACCTTGAACCTTCTTCATAGCCACGTATCTCAGTTTTTACAAATTTCTGAGTATCACCCTGCTTTCTCATCGCTATAACAATAGTGTCTTCTTTTACTATCTCCAGAGGTTGACACCATTCTGTATCCACCAGTCGGACCTTCAAATAAGACACAAGGCAATTGCAGTTCAAATATATTTGTCCAAATCACTGAACCAGCAAAAAGTAAAACTGAACGAAAATTGGGTACTTTCTTTTGAGCAGAGTTCAAAGTGATAGCTCAATGGAAACCAGTTTGCTTTTTTTGCTTTTGCTTTTCTTATATAAATATTTTTTTTACCACGTAGGGGCTTTCCCTACTGTTTTCACTCCAAAAAAAATCCTTACATGACATCAATTATTCCTTTTGCAAGGTAATGACGTGTTCACATGTCATCCTTATTTGTCAACATAGATAACGTTTACCAAGGTAAAAACAATGAAAACAACTAAAAAAAACTTTTACACCATGAATGCAATATTTTTTCAAAAAGTTGACCAGTCAGTGCAGTATATAGAAACCACATTGAGCATAAAGAACCGGCATGACATCGTTGAACCAAATGGCCAACACAAAGCTTACCAGATTCCAGAGCCCAATTCCATCCAATCATTGATCGCATCGCAGATCAACTTCCTGGTTGGAAGGCTGACTTTTTTTTCTCAAACACGCAGGAATGCTGCGTATCATTATATTAAGAAGAAGAAAAACCCTTACAAAACACACACCAACACCTTAACACTCTCAGATAGCTATGACCACGACACACCACATAACACTACCATGGCCAGGAGGACAAAAACACCTTTAGGCCCTGTTTGCCAGGAGCTGTGGCTGTGACAAAAACACCTTTAAGTCCTCCCATGAGACTGTGAAAAAAACTGTTGTGGGCTGTAGAAAAGCTGAAAGCTGTTTGGTTAAACAAGTATAAAATATACCTTTTATCTTATCTCTCTTGAAACAAATGGAAGAATTTTATTCCTCAGAAAGCCAAAAGCTAAAAGCAGGGTCAACCCAGCTTTCAAAAATAAACTACGGAAAAGCAGCTGCTTCTGAAAAAGCACCCTCCAAAAGCAGCCCCTTTGGTTGAGCTTTTGGCTTTTGGGGCCAAAAGCCAAAGCCAAAAGGCCAACCAAACGGGGCCTTAAGTCCTCCCATGAGACAAGGCAGCTAGGTAAGCAATGCCCTTAGAAAAAGGACAATTGTATTCTCAAACAGGATACAGCGTCCCCCATGTCGCCCCCGCAAGGCGGCTTGGGGGCTCTCGCGCTGCCGCCGCTAGGAGGCCTCCCTCCTCCACAGCCTCCTCTCCGTTGCCAGAGTGGCTCACCGGAAGGCCGGTGCCCGTGAGGAAGGCGACGGCAGGGCGAATCAGCCGGTGTGGCGCGTGCGGGGCGTTGAGACGCTGCAGCATGGCGAGGATGGAGCGGGCTGTGGCGGGGGTTCACTTCTCCCTCTCCCGTCCTGGCCCAAGGTTGCTGCAGTGTCGGGGACAATGGCGGCGGCGAGCCTCTGCAGGAGCAATGGCGCCAGATCTGGCATTCCCAGGTCTGGATTTGTGTCTGCTCAGCTCCGTGCAGAACTCCGAGATCTGCCTGGAGGAACGCGAACCGGTCTCCACGTTAGCTGCTGGGGGTGGGCCGCGTGATGACCGACGACTGCCTTTGGTGGCCGGAGATGCGAGCATAGGCCTGATCTGGGAGGTGATGATGTGATGTGGCCGTGCGTGGTGGTGTGCGGCGGGTGCGGTGACCGTGCTACTGCGTGTTAGCGCGTTGGCGTGGTTGTCACATGCCGGTGGCGTGGTGGCCGTGCAAGAGACGGAGCAAAGGCATGAGCTTGAGGCCTACAAGAGTCCCACCATGAGGAGCAGTGGCGGTGAGGTGCTGCCGGGGTCGACTACAGCTGGGCGTGGAAGCACGGAGATTTGGCTTCACGTGAGGGCTGAGCTTTGACAGCTCGGAGATGGAGGCGGCATTTTGGCCGCCCGCGAGCGGTGGTAAGCATCGGCAATCAACAACCAGGCAGATGGCCACGGAGTTGTCGCGTGCTGTCTGGTGGCTGCTAGCAGCAGACCGTGGTGACTATACCTGCATTGCAGTGACTGTACCAACAGTGTGATGCTATCAAGATTTGGTGAGGCTCTATAAAAAACACAGCGATTACTACGATTCCAAATGGTCCAAGCTCCGAGAATTAAAATAGAGTTTAGACCTTGTCGAATTTGTCCGTCCACCTGCTCATTAATTTTACACCACCAGTTATCGAAGGTAGATTCCTGGTTGAGGAGAGAGGTTATGGAGCCCCACCCTTTGTAGCAACCCAAACCAAAACTGCCCAGAGAAAACACATGCTACCAAAAGGTGATTAATTGTTTCACTTTCTTGATCACACACAATGGGCAGCGAGGGGGGTGCTGCAACCCCCGCTCCCCGGCGAGTCTGATGAATAAAGAGGGCAGGTTGGTTCTGGTTAAACATGTGTTGACTTCAATGGTGATCTATCTTTGTTTTCCATGGACCTCCCTCCATGGGCCATGAAAGAGATTGTTAAATCAGAAGGAATTTTCTTTGGAGGGGAAGAAGAGTGGCCAACAATGAACATTGCTTAAACACTTGGCCAAAAGTTTGTATGCCCAACCTGGAGGGCTTGGGCTACATGATCTCAGACATATTGGTTGGGATTTGAGACTAAGGTGGCTCTGGATGGCCAAGCCACTGCCTCATAAACCTTGGGCTGAATTCCAGATACAACTTCACTCCTCTGTGAAAGCTTTCTTCTCTGTGACAATTATTTCGATTTGGTTGGGTCATTTCATCCTTTGTCACAGGCGAGTCGGATTGTTAGTAGCATGTTCTTTGGTGTTGGGGTGTGTGTGTGTGTTTGTAAGGGCTCTTCCCCTTTTTTCTTCTTAATATAATGATACGCAGCTCTCCTGCGTGTTCGAGAAAAAAAAAATCGCTTGTGGGCAATGGAAAATCTACTTTGTTTTGGACAGATAGCTGGCTCCAGAAGGTCAATTGCTAACCTTGCTCCTTACCTTTCTGCCTTAGTCAACAAGAGGCGAGTAAAGAGACGTACAGTGCATGAAGCTCTGGATCAGAATCTTTGGATTCAGGACATTCAGGGTGCTTTGTGTAGAGACACACCTCACACCCAATATGGGGGGGTGACCTTATCAGCCAATTAGATCCTATTCTTCCGTTCTTTCCCCCCACCTCGCGACTCCTTCCGTGATCGTGCAGCCGCCCCCCACGCGCACGACTTCCTCTCGCCCGTCCACCCTCACCGGCGGCTCCTCCTCCTCTCCCATCCGATGGCCACAGTGCCCTCTCTCGGCTCCGCCTCCTCCCCGGCCACAGGTACCAGCACCCTGCTGGCAACAGGCGTTCCCACCATGCCATCCATCAGTGCTGCCACGATGGGTGCCATGGGCGCCGGCGCTGCTGCATCGATTGTGGCTCACCACTACGCCACAGTCAATGTCAAGTCCCACATCCCGATTACGCTGGACTTTCAATCCAACTACTCCAAGTGGGCGTTCTTCTTCAAGTCGCTGTGCGGCAAGTTTGGCCTTCGCTCGCACATCGACGGCTCTGCTCCACCTCGACCTGATGATCCTCAGTGGGATGCCGCGGAGTGCTGCGTCCGGGGCTGGATCTCCGGCTCCGTCGACGACTCCGTTCTCGACCTCGCCATGGACGGTGCCGATCCAACCGCCCATGATCTGTGGGTGGCCATTGCGGGGATCTTCCGCGCCAACCGGGAGCAGCGCGCCATCTTCCTCCTCAACGAATTTCACTCCATGGTGCAAGGTGACAGCACCATCTTGGCGTACTGCCAGCGGCTGAAGACCAAGGCCGCCACTCTTCGCGACGTCGGCCATCCTGTCGAGGACTCACAGCTCGTCCTCGCCCTTCTGCGTGGCCTCAATCCTCGCTTCTCCAACACCGCCGACGACATCGCCAACTCCGCTGTACTTCCCACATTCGCCAGAGCCCATGACATGTTGGCACTTAAGGAGCTCCGTCTCACCAACGATGAAAAGACGGTCGCCAGCACCGCCCTCCTCGCCACCGCCGGGTCTGGCTGCACCAGCCCGAGCGGGTGTCGTGCTCTCGCTGCCACAGCCACCTCTGGAGGTGCACACAACCCACACGTGACCGGCTACGGCAGCAGCAACAAGGGCGGCGGCGGTGGCAACAGCAGCGGCGGCAAGAGCAAGGGCAAGGGCGGCGTGGTGGAACAGCTGACCCCGCAGCAGCTGGCGCGGGGCGTAAACGCGCGTACCGGTGGCTGGCCACAATGGCCAATACCGACCCATGGGCCCTTGGATTTGCTACAATCCATGGGCGCCACAGGGCCCTCCTTCGGCTCAGCAGGGCGACTGGCGCCCAGGCGTGCTTGGCGCCCCTCCTCCTCAGGCTCACACGGCCTTCGTGCCTACGCAGCCCCCGACGACATTTGCGCCGCTCCACGTCTCCCAACAAGCTCCCATGTGGAACCAAGATGGTCTTGTCGCTGCACTCAATCAGATGCATCTCCAGGGCCAGCATCCCTGGGTCCTGGACTCCGGCACCTCCTCCCACATGAGCTCCTCGGATGGTATACTCCTTTCTCGCCATCCTCCTCCTTACTCTTCCATTACCGTTGGCAATGGTCAAACTCTTCCTATTTCATGTTGAAGGCAGAATGCCAACCAACTTAGATTATGTTTACACAGGGATTACAAATATATAGAGCCTTAGCCTAGGAAGGCCAGGGGCTAAGCCCACATAGGGAAGCGCATAGCAGAGTAAATAGGAGTAACTAACACAATAACCAAGGAGACACTATGGTAGTCTAACACCCCCCCCGCAGGCGGAACGTCGCTAGAGCGGACATTCAGACTGGAACGAAATTCTTGAAACACAGAAGAAGGAAGACCCTTGGTGAAGACATCAGCGAACTGGGAGGTGGTGGGCACATGAAGCACACGGACAAAGCACCAATGGGCGCGTTTCTGGACGAAATGGAGGTCAATTTCCACATGCTTGGTGCGCTGATGTTGTACAGGGTTGGTGGAGAGGTAGACGGCGCTGATGTTGTCGCGATGGCGATGCAAAGTGAGTCGGCGGGT